ACAGAAGCTGTCCGGGGCACGGACCCCCCCTCCACACACACACACGCTCACAAACAAAAACACACACGCACACACCAACATTCACGCACACCCACACACACACACACGCGCGCGCACACACAAACAAACACACACACACACGCACACAAAACCACACACACACGCACACACACACACGCGAACATATATCTATATACAGATCGGTATATATGTATGTACGCTTTAAACATACGCACACGCTTTTCCTGGCGGTCGCGGTCTCGCGTGCAGCTTGGAGGCGGGGTCCGCGCACGCACGCGCGCGCACGCCCGCACGCACGCACATACAAACACACACGCACCCGCACAGATGCACACTTAAACGACACACGCAGACATACACACACACACGCACACGTACGCGCGCACACGTACACACACGCACACACACACACACGCACACACACGCACACGCGCACACACACACAGACACACACACACGCACACACACAAAAGAACCCATTCGCACACATACACACACGGCCGCGAACACTCACACATACACACACACTCTCTTACACAAAACCACGCGTACACACGGACACACCTACACACACACGCACACACTTAACACACTTACACACCCACACACTTACACACATACACGCGTACGGACTTACACACACACACACACACACACACACACACACACACACACACACGCACACACACTCACACGCACACACTCACACGCACACGCATCCACACACCCACGCCCTCACCCGCACCCACACCCGCACCCGCACACCCACACCTACATTCACACTCTCACCCGCACAAACACCCACGCCCAAACCCATGCACGCGCCCACACCCACACCCACACATCTCACATCCATACCCACACCCACACACACCCGCGCCCACGCCCTCGCCGGGCCCACACCCACACCAACACCCACACGCCTACGCGCACACACACACACACGCGCGCGCAAACGCACGCACACAACACACACGCACACGCACACAAACACAAGCACAGACAACGCACACACACAACACACAACACACACAACACACACCACATGCACCACGCGTACAACACGCAACATACGAATGCACACAAACACACACACATGCAGGCACATACACACACACCTACACACACGGACACACACACACACACGCACACACACACACACGCACACACGCACACGCACAGGCACACGCACATGCATACGCACAGGCACATACACACACCAACACGCACACACACACCCACACACACACGCACGCACAGGCACACACACAAACACACACATACACGTAGACGCATGAACTTTCTTGGCGGTCGCGGCCTCGCGCGCATCGTCGAGGCGGAGTAAGGTCAGAGCTGGTGCACGCGCGGCTCGGTCCTCAGGCGGGATCGCTCTGAATTCCTTGCATGCCAGCAGCAGCAAGCCATCCGGGCGTGAATGGCGGGGCGCCGCCCAACGCTGGACCTCTCGCACGGGGACGCGGCGCGAGAGCGTGGAGGAGGGGCATCACCATCCGCGTGGATGTCGGAGAGGTGACACGCCGCCCTTCGCTGGGCCTCCCAAGCGGGGACGTAGCACGAGGACATGGCATGGGGAAAGACCTACCGAGCGACGGTGGTAGGGTGGTGAGTGGGAATGCGCTGCGCAGCGCGGGAGGTCTGGAGACCCCTGCGGGGAATGACAGCCCCGTGAGGGGGGAAAGGGAAAGCCGCGGCAGGCTGGCAGAGAGCGCAGAAGGGAAATAGCAAAATGCCTGGAGTGAGAGATGGGGACAAGCCGAGGGTGAAGCGAAGCGTGGAGGCGCGCGGAGTTTCCGCCCAGCGGACTGCCCGCAGGGCGGCAGCGTGAGAGGGATGGAGAAATCAAGAGGACGCAAGAGAGGAAAGGCCGGAGGTCAAGCCGAGTTGACGGCGGGGCGCTTGCGCTGAGCAGCGCCGCCGCCCCGTGGAGGCGACGCAGGGGCAGCGCCAGGGGCGGCTGGGGGAACAGCCTGGACAACCTCTGGAGGGAGGGAGCGGATGAAAAGGCTGGGCAGACTGGACGGGATGGTGGAGGGCCCATGCGGGCTTCCCCCGGCGGCGGGAGAGGCCGCGGACAAGGCGTTCTGGACGGCCCACATGTACCATTCCGCTCTGAGGTTGCGGTGCTCGAAGCCCTCTTCCAGCGTGACGGAGACCTGGGAGACGAGGGCGTGGTGGCCCACGCCCATGGCACAGGCCAGCACTGCCCAGGGGCCTTGCTGGTCGTCGCGCGCTGCTTGGTGGGCGCGGGCTCCATGGACCCGGAGGTATCGTGGCGGGGCGGGGGGGGCGCCGGGGCAAGGGGAGCCTAGCGCCGATGAGGGGCCGCGAGCCTGAGCGATCGGGAAGAGGGGGCGGCGAAGGGGGGGGGGGGGGGGGGCGCCTCCCGCTGGCTGCGGCCGCCCAGTCTGGCGGGGCGCCCGCGGGCCGCGCCCCCCCCCCGTGTAGCGGACGCCGCCCGCCCTTGGGAGCGAGGGCAGCGGGCGCGCGGGCGCGGGCTGCCTTGCGACTGTGTTGGCGGTCTGGCGAGGCGGGCGGCGCGGGCTCGGTGGAGGCGGTCGGCGCTCGCGCTGGCCGCCGCGGGCTCCCTTGAGCGGGGGGGCGCGGTGCGGACGTTGGGGAGCGCGAGCTGCCAGAGAGGCGGGCGGGGGCATGGAGGCGGCGTGCGTGCGCCGACGCACCTGGGCGGTTTCGTTGCGTCGGGCGAGGCGCCTCCGGACACTCCGCGGTGCGCAGACGAAGCGGCGGGGGGCCTGGGAGCACCGATGGCGTGGAGGAAGTCGCGAGACACTGGCGACGCTGGGGGTACATGGAGGCGCTTGGATGGAGATGCATTCGTGGATGTACGACGAGCTGGCTCCAACCATCAACGTTTGGGCCTTGGACACACACTCCGTCAAACTCTGCATCCTCTGCGCCAGCACAGAAACAATAGATGGTAGGCATGTTGGCAACATGTGATGCGTCTTTGGTGTGGCCTGCCTGTACCGTTATCCGCGTCAAATCCGCGTCGGATATCAGAACACACCGCAACTTCTAGGACAAACGAGGTCCCCCGATGCAGCTGAAGTCAAGGTCTGCCCTCGTTTTCCGT